CTGTTCCTCCTGCAAACCGTTATGTATTTTGTTACAGCCGGGGCGCTGACCTAAGGAACCCTAAATCAGGAACGAGGCCCCTATTTCCCATAAGTTAAACCTCGATTTTCCATGGAAAACCTCAGGACAACCCGAGACAAACTGTGAAATATTCAAGGAACACCGAGCCCCTCCCCAACCAAAAGGGTTCCTTCTTCAGGGCCCCGACTGTACGACTGACTCTCCGGCTCCTGATCCTCCGTATCCTCCTGCGCTTGCCCCTTTCAGCGACCCCGGAAGAGTGCGAGGGGACGGCCTGGCTCCTGCTCCGCATCCCTCTCCTCCGTCGCCGCCTCCTCGTTATCATCCTCTTTGTCTCCTCCTGCCGCTGCTGCTCTTCCTCCTTCCCCCATTGGGTACTCAACCATTTGCGAGGGGGGAGGCGACCGTCTTCCTCCTCCTCCTCCTCCTCCTCCTCCTCCTCCTCCTCCTCCTCCTCCTCCTCCTCTTCCTCCACCTACTCACTTGCCTCCTCCTCGTCCTCATCCCCACCACCTCCCTCCTCCATCCCTTTTCCATATATATATATATACACATAGATGGTAGTTAGCGTATGCCCAACACAATGTGTCCCTGGCCACAGATGTTGCGCAATCGATGTAGAAGCAACGTACGTGGTGCAATCTATGACTTGCAAACCATGTTGCACCAAATTTATTGTGCATCCTATGTTGTGTAATGTATGTGGTGCAATGTGTCGTGCAACTTGTGTCGTGCAATTCACCGTGCCGAACGTGAAATTGACAACTCCACTGTTCTGGCAATCACCCCATCCACCCAACCGCAACGTAGTTTGCAAAACCCATGCAGGGGCGCTTGCGGTGACTGCTTTGCGCTGGATGGCGCATCGCTGCGGCCACACTAGCGCACGCGCGTTCGCGCGCAGAGAGGCCAGCTAGTTTGGCGCGGCCGACGAGGCCGCGGGGGCGCTGACCGCCGGGAACTTCCGAGCGCGTCTCGCAGGCAGTGGTGCAATATATGTGGTGCGCAATATATATATATATATATATATATGAATAATATATATATATATATATATATATATATAGATATGTAAGCGTATAGGTGTGTATACATATAGTAATCGACGTAGAGCAATATGTGCGGTGCAGCCTACGTTGTGCAATCTATGTGGTGCCATATTTGTGTCCACCCCTAGGGGGCGATGACACAACGAACGGAACTTGAACACTGCGATCTCCACAGCAAGGCCGCGCTACCACGTGCATCGGATGAGCGCATGGCGAGCGAGGGAGATATCCTAAGGCGGAGGTAGCAGAGGGAGGAGGAGGAGACGGGACAACTACGCTGTGCGACGAACCCCTGCGGCACAAACGGCCACTTACATTGTATAAATCTACGTGGTGCAATATACCTGGTGCAATCGACGTGGTGCAGTCTATGTGATGCAATCTATATGGTGCAATCTGCGCGGTGCAATATATGTGTTGCCATCTATGTTGTGCAATCCACTCTGCTGAACTTGAAGTCGTCATCTCCACTGCTCGCGCAAGCATCCCACCCACCCACCCGCAACTTGGTCTGCAAAATCTGTTAAGACCGACTACGACGACACCGACGACAACGACTAGGACGACACCGACGACGTCTCCGACGACTTCGACGACGACAACGACGCCGACGCCGACGACGACGAAAACCACGACGACGACGCCAACGAAGGTGACGACGAGGGAGGAGGAAGGACGGCGACGGCGACAACGACGACAACGACGACAACGACGAGGGAGGAGGGAGGACGGCGACGACGCGAACGACGACGAAGGAGGAAGGACGGCGACGCCGACGACGACAACGACGAGGGAGGAGGGAAGACGACGACGACAACGACGACGACGACAGCGACGAAATAGGAGGGACGACGATGAGACGCCGACGACGGACGACGACGACGACGTGGGAGGAGGAGGAAGGACGACCACGGCGACAACGACGACGGAAACGACCACGACGCCAGAGAGGACGACGACGACGAACACGAGAAAAGACAGAGGACGACGTAGGCGACGACGACGACGACGCGGGAGGAGGGAGGACGGCGACGACGACGACGACGACGACGACGACGATGACGACGCAAGAGCGCGCGCGCACGCTGTTGTTGAAAATCCGTGTTGCGAAACCTTGGGTTTTTGTAGGTTTTTGGGACGCGCGATTTTGAAATCCTTCCGAAACCGATGGGTTTTGAAGGTTTTCGGCATACGCCCGCGACGACGCGCGAGTCTGCACTTCGTCCCATTTTTTGCAAAGATTCTCGCGACGGCACACGCGCAAGGGCGTTCGACAGATTTCGACATGCGCGCGCGCGCGAAGCCCGTTTGGTAGCATTTGGTGAAAATCTTGAAAAAACCTATGGTTTTCTTAAGATTTCGCAAGAGCTCGCGCAGAAGCTTTTTTAGCAAATCAGTGTTGCGAAACCCTGTGTTTTTGTATGTGTTTTGGAAACTCGATTGCGAAATCCTTCCGGCACCGAAGGTTTTTGAAGGATTCCGGCATGCGCGCGCGACGACGCGCGCGTGCACTTCGTCCTATTTGTTGCAAGGGATTCGTGAAAAAGTGTTATGTCCAGACAAAAAATGTCACCGCATAGTGTTCTTTTTACAAGGGAACCTCAGGGGGGGGAACCCGGTCTGGCTGGGATGATACGATTTCATATTTAGGATGGACGAGTGTGCAGAATATATACTTATATATATATATATATATATTAATATATATTATATATATATATATTATATATATATGTGTGTGTGTCGGCGGTGCGCCGTGGCACGAACCCCCCCCAGCACTACCGGGGGGTTTCGTGCACTACCGGGGGGTTTCGTGCAGCCCGCACCGGGTGCCGCCAGCGGCTTAGAACACCCCCCCCTTGCCGCTTTACCGGGGGGTTCGTGCAGGCCGCATTGGGTCCTCCCCTGTCGCTTTACCGGGGGGGTTCGTGCAGGCCGCACTGCGTCTACCTGGGCTCCCCCCCCCCCTGTGGGAGTGGGGGGGTGGGAGTGGGGGGTGGGTTGGGGGGGGGGCAGGGGGGCGGTTGGGAAGGGTGGCTCCCTGTCGAAGTGTGGCGTGTGCTCGCCTTGTGTTCTCTATTCGCGTCTGCTCGCCTTTGTTTCGCCTTCCTCCTCTTCTTCCTCCTCCTCCTTCTCCTTCTCCTCCTCCTGCTGCTCCTCCTCCTCTTCCTCCTCCTCCTCCTCCTCCTACTCCTCCTCCTCCTCCTCGTCCTCCTCCTCGTCCTTTGTAATGCAGATTGGGGCCACAAGCATGCGAGTTGCGCCGCAGCCTCTCGTATTGTGGCCACGAGCCCAGCAGTGCGAACAACAGGAATGCCAGTTCCTCCTCCTGCTCAGCCTGGTAAGATTCGCGCGTCGGGGCTGGGGTTCGCGCGTGCCGGGAGCGCGCCGCTTACGGAGGGGTTGCGTCCTTACCGGGGGGTTTCGTGCAGCCTACCAGAGGAGGTCGTGTTTACCGGGGGGGGGTTGTGCAGGCTCGCACCGGGAATGGCGCCAGCTCGGAACCTCCCAGGAGAGATTACCGGGCGGGGGGTTCTCGCTCCGCACCGGGCACCGCCGACATATATATCTATATATATATATATATATATATATATATGTATATATATATATATATGAAATTATACTATCCCAGGGGGAAGCGATAAGTCCGGGGGGGGGGGTAGAGTCTATTCTCTTTTTAGAAAGGAGAATCTAGGAGTCGACGGGGAGGCGACGGTGACCACGGAACCGCCAGACCGACCCCAAGGCCCAGACGACGGGCGGCGACGAGCCGGCGACGGAGCGGCGACGGCGAAGACGAAGCCGCCGAACCGACCCCCTGGCCCAGACGACGGGCGGCGACGGGGCAACGACGGCGACTACACAGCCGCCAGACCGACCACACGGCCCAGTTCCTTTTTAACATCAGTAGGACAGCCCAAGTGCAAGCACTGCTTGGGGAACCGATATTCCCTGTCGCACACCCAGACGTGTCGGTAGGGCGGGCCAGGAGTGTCGCCTGAGACCTCCTTAGCAAGTATGGTCCTGCAGCATCTGAACCATGGCTGGGAAATCGGTGGTCTTCAAACTGTGGCTCTCGCTGCAGCGCCGCGCGCCTTCGCCGTGGACGTCTGCAGCAGCTTGACGGATGGCAGGCGGCACCTCTTTCCAGAAGGTGGCTCCACACCTTCGTCTTGAAAGCGTGTAACCGCTTCAACGATGGAGAGGCGCTCCTTTTCACGGTGCAGCTCTCGCCTCAGCGCCGCGCACACTCGCCATAGCAGTCTCCAGGCTCCGCGCGGCTGGAGTCCCAGGGATGGTGTTCCGGCACGGTTCGGCGGTGGACAAACCTCCCTTTAGTAGACCTCCCCTTAGTGAAAACGGCCTGGGACCGAAACCGACGGACCTGGACCCGCAAAAATGACGGCCGCGACGCCCCCTCGCGAACCGAAAACGGCCAATTCCTTAATCGACGTGTCAGGGTAGGAGGTCTGTCCACCCCCGAACGGTTTAGGGCACGTCGGGACACACCGGTCACGCTGATTCGCGGTGAAGTACCAGGAATGGTGTTCTGGCATGCTTTGAAACTATCAGGGTCCCAGGAGCGGTGTCCGGACACAGTCGAGGACTCTCAAACGGTTGTCTTCCGATGGGCACTCCCCTCCACGAAAAGAACTTGCTGTAGAAACCGGAGGGTGGGAACTTGGGGGGAGGGAGGGTTTATTTCAGCATCGCTGACGCGCCCTGGGTTTACAGTGGTCCTCCTCCTCCCCCTCCGTCTCCCCACTTGCCTCCTCCTCCCCACCGCCGCCTCCCTTCTCCTCTTGCCCGCGGATTCCTCCTCCTCTTCCCCCTCCCCCTCCTCCAACCTCATCCTCCTCCTCCGCTCCTCCGGCCCCTCCTCAGGCTACTCCCCCCTCCTGCTCCCGCTGCCCCCTCCTCCCCTGCCTGCGGGTTCCAGCGGAGGCGGCGCGGCCAGAAGGCCCTGGTCTGGCGCGGGTGCCGCTGCTGACGGTGGCGCTGGCTGGCCGAGCGCCGGGCGACGCGTCTTCAGGGGGCCAGAAAAACCGAGGAGGCGTCCGTCACGGACGCCTCCTCGGTTTTGAGCTCACGGACGGTCCGTGAGCTCACGGAGCTCACGGACGGCCCCGTCCAGGGGGTCTGTGAGCTCACGGACGGTCCGTTAGCTCACAGACTTCAATTTCTCCAGATTTCAACCTCTGGGGGGCCCTCGCCGGGCCCCCAGAGCGCCCAAGAAAACTGACCGGGATGGAAACACCAGTCTGGGGCAAGGGGTCGAGACCTCTCGCGTCAACGCTGTGAAAACACACACACACACACGACGTCGGGGGTCTGGGGCTCGAAGATCGTAAGATGTTCCTACGAGTCAGGGGAGGCTTCTTGAGAGGGAGGAGGAGGAGGAGGAGGAGGAGGAGGAGGAGGAGGAGGAGGAGGAGGAGGAGGATAAACCCAAGATGCGCACACGATGCTGCATCCCCAGGCCCCCTTCTCCCGCGCGCCCTTGCAACCGTCTTCCCCTCCGGTGCGGGCAGCGCCCCCCCCTCGCCAAGACGAGAGCCTCGTGGGCCACTGGCCTGCAGCTCGGGCGAGTTTCCCGTCCTGAAGAAGAGCCGCTCTCCATGCAGCCAGAAATATGATCAAGAAACTGATAGTTCCAAAAATCTGGGACAACTTCACCGAGGTTTCTCAAAATAAACCTTGGTCAACTTCTCCGTTCATGTTGAAAGCGGCGACCGTGCTCAAGAACCTGGGCCAGCTTTCCGGCAAGCTGGTTAAGAAACGCTGGCCCAGCTTTTCGGGAGAAGGCTTCTTCGGGGGTGATGCATCGACCTGGAATCGGCGACACATCGCCGACAGATCGGCGATAGGCCCCCAATATTGGATCCACGCCTTCCTGGGCGGGTTGGGGCTCTCAGACCCTCGGCGACCAATGGGCGTTTGGGGATCGATGCATCTCCCCTGGGCCTATCACCCCCCGATCGTTGCCCCTAAATCATAATGGAGGATGACGATTAATAAATGACCGGGGGTCGTGTTCACGCGGCGGCGCCCGGGATGACGATTAGAAAAACCGGCCGCGGGCTGGAAAACTATTTCTTTAATCGTTCTCCTCCAGTCAGAAACTTGTTCAGAAATAACAGAAAACTATGTTTTCATCGTGCTCTCCCATGTGTTTTATTAATCGTCGTCCCGCATTATGCTCGACGGTGCTTGTAGACTGCAGGCGCTGGAAGACCAGTGTGCAAACCAGCCACGGCGGGCCCCGAGCGAGCGCCCACCTTTGACATGGGGCCGCCCCCCGCCGAGCACAGCTGTCTCTGATGCGGGTTGGCGATGATTTTTTTAAAAAAATGGGAGAGAACGATTAAAACAATCGTTTTCTGCTATTTCTGCGCAGGTTTCTGACTGGAGGAGAACGAGTTTTTAAAATGGTTCTCCAACCCGCGGCCGGTTTTTTCTCATCGTCATCCCGGGCGCCGCCGCGTGAACACGACCCCCGGTCATTTGTTAATCGTCATCCTCCAATTTGGTCGGGCACTCTCTGGCTTTTACAGCGCGTCGCGGCAACGGCCCCGGCGACACTCCTAATGCCTCTGAGGGCGCCCAGGGACACACAAAGAAAGCGACGCGAATGCCAGGGTTCCCAATATCTTTCCATATGTTCTGGATGCTCCTCTTCTTGGGGACCCAAAAGTGACATGAACATAAAAACTCGGAGGTCCGCGCGGATTTCTCGGATCGGCGCTGGACCCCCTTCCCTGGCGCGCGGAGCGCGCCAGGGGCGGCGCCGGAGGCGCCGCCAGGGGGGTCCAGCGCGGATCCGAGAAATCCGCGCGGACCTCCGAGTTGTTATGTTTATGCCACTTTTTGTTCCCCTATCCTCTTCCCCCCCGCTCCCCATATCTCACCGTATCTTCCGGGGGGTCGACGACTCCGAGCGACGTGGCGAGCCAAAACCTCTGACCGTGGGCTTTTTCCACTCGCAGCTGCGGGGCACGGCGGAGGCCCAGTGGCGAGCGACGCATTTTCCCCTCGAGGCCGGCTCTGCATGGCCCCGAGTGGCCTCGAAGATGGCAAAGGAGAGCCCAAGATTGGGGTCGGGCATGTCCCTCTACAGGCGGCTTCTGGGAGACAGATCAAACATAGCCAAACGTATTCAAACAATTAAGAATACTCGAAGATCGTCCCCAAACTATGTTTTACTCTTTCCCAAGCCTTATTGGTTGGGCATGCGTTTTGAATAGAGCACCGCGGTTACGTATTCCTCCTCCCGCCTCCTCCCGCCTCCTCCCGCCTCCTCCTGCCCTCTCTTCGACGTCGCTGGGGGGCTGCGATGTGCGAAACTGTCGCCACGTTCGAGGGCTGCTGGTGGGTCCAGCGGAGTGAGGCACCGCGCAGACCTGAGGTAGACCTCGTCGTCCCTGGGGGGCTGCGATCTGCGAAACTGTCGCCACGTTCGAGGGCTGCTGGTGGGTCCAGCGGAGTGAGGCACCGCGCAGACCTAAGGTAGACCTCGCCGTCCATGGGGGGCTGCGATCTGCGAAGCTGTCGCCACTTTCGAGGGCTGCTGTTGGGTCCAGCGGAGTGAGGCACCGCGCAGACCTAAGGTAGACCTCGCCGTCCCTGGGGGGCTGCGATCTGCGAAACTGTCGCACGTTCGAGGGCTGCTGGTGGGTCCAGTGGAGTGAGGCACCGCGCAGACCTGAAGCAGATTTCGTCGTTTCTGGGGGGCTGCGATCTGCGAAATTGTCGCCACGTTCGAGGGCTGCTGGTGGGTCCAGCGGAGTGAGGCACCGCGCAGACCTGAGGTAGACCTCGCCGTCCCTGGGGGGCTACGATCTGCGAAACTGTCGCCACGTTCGAGGGCTGCTGGTGGGTCCAGTGGAGTGAGGCACCGCGCAGACCTGAGGTAGACCTCGTCGTCCCTGGGGGGGGGGGCTGCGATCTGCGAAGCTGTCGCCACGTTCGAGGGCTGCTGGTGGGTCCAGCGGAGTGAGGCACTAGGCGGACCTGAGCGAGACCTCGCCGTCCCTGGGGGGCTGCGATCTGCGAAACTGTCGCACGTTCGAGGGCTGCTGGTGGGTCCAGCGGAGTGAGGCACCGCGCAGACCTGAGGTAGACCTCGCCGTCCCTGGGGGGCTGCGATCTGCGAAACTGTCGCCACGTTCGAGGGCTGCTGGTGGGTCCAGCGGAGTGAGGCACCGCGCAGACCTGAGGTAGACCTCGCCGTCCCTGGGGGGCTGCGATCTGCGAAGCTGTCGCCACTTTCAAGGGCTGCTGGTGGGCTCGCCACTTTCGAAGGCTGCTGGTGGGCCCAGCGGAGTGAGGCACTGCGCGGACCTGAGCGGGACCTCGCCGTCCCTGGGCGGCCATGTCATGTTGTTGCTGCCCCGCCGACGTTTCAAGCCCCTTGCCCACAGTCTCCTTTTGGACCTTGCGTCTTCCTTAAGTGACTCAGGGGTTCACTTAGTTACTCGTCGTTTTACCGCTGATTGGGGACCTGCGAACCTTCCAAATGCCGCTCGCAGAAGTATATGCGTCCATGCCACGTCGCCCCCTTCTCGTCAAATCTCCCAAGCTACTCCTGCCCCGCATTGCGCAGGGGTTGGGTACGTCGCCAAGGTAATGTTGAATGTTCCTCCTGTAGAGGGACGTGCCGGACTTCCCCGAAGATTGCTCAAGATGGCTTCTGGCAGGCACCCAAGACGCCCCAAAAACGACCCAGAGACGGCTCCGAGCGGCCACGGATCCTCCCAAGGACAACCCCGAAAGGCCAATATCACAAGTTCACTGGAACAGCCATGGCTACACGACCACCCTTCGGGTGATCAGATGGTTGGTGTGGGGGGTCAAGAACCAACTGACGACAACTGCGATGGCGGTGATGATGACGGCTCCTGATGCGCCCTCGCGTTGGCGACGACGCGTGGTGACGATGCTGCGTCGTGATGCGGCCCCACTATCGGTCCCATTCGATCGACCTCACCATCGAGACACCACCAGGGCACCATGAGGCCAAATAGATGCCACCACTTCTGTGCTGTGATGATTGGTGCTAAGTGTGATGGCTTGCTGCTCATGGCAAGGTGATGGCCGCAGTGGTGATGAGTGTGGCGGCGACAACAACGGCGGTATTGCTGAGCGCAATCGACACACAATCGGAACACTATCGGGCCAAATAAAACCACCATCACTGCGCTGAGATGGCAATGTGACGATGCGGCGTTGCGACGTAGTCCCACTATCGATCCCATTCGATCGACGTCACAATCGAGAGACCACAAGGGCACCATGATGCCAAATACATGCTACAACTACCATGCTGTGATGGTTGGTGCTGAGTGTGATGGCTGGCTGCTGATTGCAAGATGATGGCCGCAGTGGTGATGAGTGTATCGATCTTATCACCAGTTCTCACTACCGAATTCGCCCGAAGCTTCGAACTCGGGCTTCCTCATCCCCGCGCTCGTGGTGTCATTTATTTTGCCTCGGGACGCTCGCGGCCACAAGTGAAATCGCCTGGCCGGATGGACACCAATCGGGACACTGATCGGACACTATCAGGACACCAATCGGGACACCAATCGAGACACCAATCAGGACACCGACGGGACACCCATCGGGACACCGACGGGACACCGACGGGACATCAATCGCTCAATACCACAGTCGATCCTGTGGTGGGGGTGATGCTGACATTGAAAACCGTTTGGCGTATCGGGTTCTCTGCGATCCCCCCCAAGTTTCACTATGGATACCGCCAGGACGCCACAGAGACACCATCGAAACACCACCAGGTCACCATCAGGACACCAATCAAGACCCCAATCGGGACACAATCGCTTCCAGTCGATCGATCTGACTTTTGGTCGCACTGTAGATCTCACGAGTGAACCCACTATCAATCTCACTATCGATCGGTCGTATGTACTATCGATCTCGCTATCGGTCTCCCTATCGATCTCACCACGGGGCATCAGGGGACACCGACGGGACACCCGCGGGACACCGACGGGACACCACGGG